GGAATCGTAACGATGTGTTGAAATGTGTAAAACTTGCACCAATTTATCGCTACGATTTCACTCAATGTCCAATCTGCTTTTGCACTGTAAGGTTGTTTCATGCCATAGTGTTGTAGGTAAACAGGTCAGAAAATGCAAGTAAACAAACATCTCGTGAGTGGCTCGACAGGAACAAAAAAGACCTAGCTTATATTGAGCTAGTCAAAAAGTTCAAGAAGTTTTCAAAAATCTGTTTTAAAATCTGTTTTTCCGTTAATCAGCTGTCGCCCTCATACAAACGACAACTCTCAGAAGTTGAGAAACTTGTGCGAGCTAAGGACTAACGAGGTCTCACCTTTTAACGTGTGATTCCTAACACGGTTGCAGAATCATCCCAGCTTCAACCAGATAAATTCTCTCGAGAAAAATATCTGGTCGAGGCGGGAATCAAATCCACGGCCTTCCAATCGTGAGTCGGGCGCACTATCACCGCGGCCAATTACGTCTGCAGATAGGAACACTGTCGAAAAAAAAAAACTCGTTGCGTACGGTTTATAAAAAAAAACCTTCTGAAAGTTAAGAGTTCGGAGAAATCTGGGGCTGCTGCGAATGACATCTACAAATCTAGTTATTGGTATTTCGACCGTCTTCATTTCTTGAACGACCAGGACTTTGCAAGACCAAGTAAGTGGCATTTGACAAGAAATCGTTACAATTTATCGTAGCGTGTAAACAGTGCTCTACTCTTTCGATTTGTTGGAGCGATAAATCGTTCAATCAATCGTTACGATTTATCGTAGCGTGTAAAGCCCCCATTACGCTGGATATTCTAAGGCCTTTGACCGTGTGTGGTTTGAGGGTTTGCTGGCCAAACTTCGATGTTATGGCTTTTCGGATCATTTTTGAGTATGACTCGTCAGCTTCATGAAATAACGTTTTCTGCAAGTGGCCGTCGATGAATATCTTTCGAATACTTCCACCATCAACGGTGGTGTTTCCCAGGAATTCATATTGTTTTCAACCCTCTTTTAATTGTATGTCAACGACCTATTGTATGTCAGCTTTGCTGACGACAGCACAATTGTCTTGTAATTCCATTTGGATTCCAGGACATAGACTAAGGAGGCACATCTTCACCGGCAGCAGGAGGTTGTATATCTCAGTGAGAATCTAGAAGTGATTTCGAATTGGAGTGAAAGTAATCAGGTTCAATTCAATGCCACCAAACCCAGGTATCGGTTTTCTCCAAGAAGATAATGTCTTCGAAACGGATATAACAATGTTAGGTCGAAAAATCCGCTTTCTGCTTCGATAAGTTTGTTGGGGGTTGGAATGGACACCAATATGTCTAGGCACAATCATGTCGCTAAGAATGTAAAGACTGTTTTTCGAAAGTTTAGTCCACTATTCCGAACCAGAAAACTGTACACACGTCAGCTTTTGATGCTTTATTAAGCTCAGATCCGATCTTCTTTGGAGTATTTTTCTCATGTATGGAGCTCTGCCCCCAAACATCCCCTGAAGTTGCTGGATTTCATCCAGAAAAGAGTCGCGAACATCACGTGCAATCTTGCTGGCCTGTGTAATAAGTACCCTACAAAATGCCAAAGTGCCAACTGTCATCTGTGTCGTGGGTCACCTAGCTCACAATTATGTCATAAATTCTTAATCTCTGTTATAAATTGTTCGATAGTTTGCCCTTCTTTTTGTTAATATGTCAAAAACTTATGTCTTTCGTACGTCAAGTTGCTTTTAGGAATAAAATGCTGGTCAAACTTCTTCAATAATTCGTCTAAGGTGTCTTCCTCATCTGCAGTGGAAGTATTGTAAATGCTCATACCTTCTTCTCCTATCAACGTGAAGAGTTGAGCACATTTCGTCGCTTCTTCCTTCTTAGCGATTTCGCTTGCTTTCAAATATATTAAAAACCTCCGCTTCCATAACCTCCACTTTTCGGCAAGGTTACCGCACATGACCATGGGTCCATGTTCCAGCTTTTCTTTGATTGATGAATAACTAACTATCCTTTCACTTTTCGTGTTTGCTGTTTTTCAGCATCGGATGATTGAAGATTTAATATTCAATTCCAATTTCTCGACTGCGCCATGTGTTATTGAATATGTATGGACAGGATGGCTGGGGCTAGGATGTGGAATGATGAGGTGACCCTTGAGACAGATGACAGTTGGTACTTAGACATTTTGTAACGTTCTTATTACAGCCTAGAGCATCGAAGAATGGTTGGAGATTTGTCTCTCTTCTATAGACACTCTCACAGAAAGTGTTTAAGTGATTTGGCACGTTTGATTCTACCAAGAGCGGCACATATCAGAAATACGTGACGAACTGTGGCTGCTCATCGTTTTGGGGTTCAACTCAGTACACCTCGAATTTCACTGTTTAAGAACTCTTTCATTTGGAGAACTACGTTTATATGGAATAAACTTCCTGAGAACGGTTTTTCAAACGGATTCAATTTGCAACGATTCAATTTCTTGTAGGGCTTGTATTTTGTCCTTCAAAAAACAATTAAATTGTAAATTAAAAAAAATCAAATTGAATACTATAGACCAATAGCTCTACTATCGATCATTAGTAAAATATTCGAAAAAGCCCTATATAATCGCCGTATAGCCTATCTAGAAAAGTTTGAGTTATTGAGTGACACCCAAAATGGCTTCCGAAGAGGCAAATCTACTACACGAGCGATTTGTCAAGCCTTTTACACAGTGCTTAATAGTCAAAATGAAAGAAAACACACTTTAATGATTTGTCTAGATCTGTCAAAAGCTTTTGACAGTGTCGACCATAATATACTAATAGGCAAACTTAATGCCTATGGAATCGGGGGAATCTCAGCCGATTTAATAAATTCATACTTGCAAAATAGAACACAAGGAGTTGTTGAAAAATACCACCTCACTAACGAAAACATACAGTTAGATAAATTAACAATCTTGAGAGGAGTTCCGCAAGGATCAATCTTAGGGCCGTTGCTATATATTCTGTATACCAATGAGCTAGCAAATGCTATTGATTTCTGGGGTACTGTATTTTTATCCTGAACAAATAAATTTTATCTATCTATCTAAATTCGGTGGTTTTGAACGACTGTTAAAAAGGTGTGATTTTCCAGATATATCTGAGTTTCTCAGTCGTTGCTGAAACTCCAAGGTACTACCTTCGTCCTCACAGCCAACGCACATAGCACTGAAGATGTCTGCCGCAGCAGCAAACGGAACGTTTGGTACTACGAGTTCCTGTCAATAATGGTCTACCAGCCCGGATGTTGTTTTCTCTAATCATGACTCCGGCTGCGAATGACGCTTCTGTTCAATAAATGACAGCTGTCATTTGAGGAATATTGATTTGATTCATCTTGAAATCTTTCTGATAATCTTCTCTCGTCTTAATTTCAGTGTTGGTAATGGTTGAAGTGATGTTAGTCAACCAAATTCCATAATTTTGAACGATAATTATGTGAAACTTGTATACTCAGTATTCATTTCACTATTTTAATTTTTTGCAACTATGATGAGTAAGTTACCGTCAAAAAGAGAATTACTTTCACCGATTCGTGAAAGTGAATTAAAAAATAATGAGATATGTATAGCTTGATAAAAGTATTTCTCTTCACGGTCAGATGTAGCTGTACAAATTCGCGAACTATTCAATATTTTAATAGTTCTTTTATTGTCGAAGGATATTATTCAGCGAGTGTTACTATTTATTCATTAGTTCAGCACTTTTTGAAGCCAGTGAACGTGCTGTTGTTTAGTGCTCCAGTTCGTTGATTCGTATAGTTGTCTAGGTGTAAGATTTTAAAAATACAGAAAATTCCATCCGACGATAAAGTAACAAGAAACTTCCAAGAGTTATTAAAAATGGGTTTTTGTATATTTGCAACAAAAAAACTCAATGAATTATAGTTGATGTATTGGAAAACATATTGATTTCAGGTGAGTTTAGACGACTTCATATTTTTTTGCTTTCTTCAGCACATTCCAGTAACTCTTCTTCAATACCATATAGATCAATGAAAATATTTCGCTGCATGAATTTCAATTCGTAAAGAAAGTTACTCGGTCACACACTCCTTCAAAGGATTTTTTGATACTTTCCTCATTTTATTCAATAATTTACACAAATTTGAAATATGTACAAATGTAGAACTATGTTTATTATACGTTCGTTTTATACAGCCTCATCATTAACAAACACCGTGACTTGATCAAACATATGAAGCATTCAAATAATGTTCGAATGCAAAAACTATGNAAAATCATGTTTATTGTTAACTCTCATTATTGACAAGTCCAAAAAATTTATAAAGTCATCCTTCTCCATCTCCATGGTGAATGTGATGGAAAGGTGAAGAGAATTGATGAAATTCAATTGTCTGTTCGTTCTTGTGAAACATACCAAGATATCATCGACATATCTATACCAATACACAATGAGACTAAGTTTTCCCATTAAGGGTTTCCCATTATTGAAAAAATCAATTAAAAAATCAAATTCTCCATTCGAACAAAAGGATTATAATATCCTCATTCTGCAAATTGCCGTTTCTTCTCTTGCGCCAAGAAAATATACTAGAAACTTGTGCGAGCTGGCGATTTACGAGGTGTACTCGTACATCGTGAGGTAGACGGTCATTGGACACGGGAATTAGGTGATCGCATTTGTCTTTCCAATATTTCTGATGTAGTATGGAAAATCAATATGATCTCAGCGTTCGACAGTAGGGAAACTTCGGTGTTCAAAAAATAAACTTGATATTTTATCAACCCTTCTCCATTTTTCAAACGTTTTTTTTTTCACCCTGAACTGAACAGTTCACGACGAATATGGTTCATTATCATTTGTTTTTGTTGTTTTATTATCCATCCACTTATTAAAGAGATCAACGAAATACCTTTAAACGTTTTTATCAACAATATACTATCATTAGTTTTCCAATGGCTCCATTAGAACGGCGATAAAAAATAATTGCGCTCCACAATTGTTTTGTGTTCATCAATATTATATGCGTTGTTCATGTAATGAGCCTGAAAAACAGTAAGACTCAAGATTTTTTTTCTACTACAGAAAGTGAAGTTACTTCAATAAACCTTCATCTCCATCTGATGCACCGGTGAGTAATAACTACGTATTCAACCACTAAACACCACACCTAGTTCATCTCCGGATGACACCAACTTCAAAATCAAATAACGTATATCACATTGCATTCTTTCTTCATACCACTGTTAGAAAGAAAGTTTCATCACCTCCTTAGGTCCATCTTTCAATCAATCAAAGTCTTGAAAATATTTTAAGAATGGATTTTCACTGCTTCCAACTCTGATAATATAAGTATCATTCTGAAGGTATCATGTCAAACAACTTGCTAGATCATTGTGTCCTTCATTTCAATGGCGCTTATCTGCCTATGAAAAAAAATACTTCTATTTGTTTTGAAACTCCCTGAGGATATTTAATTATACAGAAATTATTTCTGTAACTGCAACTAGGTATATACCCATCATCTATAAAGCAATCTACTGAGGTTGAAGGTTTTCAGTTTGAAACAGTATCTAGAGTTCAGGGGCCACTTCCTATTATAAATATTTCGCGAAGGCTGCTTCTCAAAAGTCTGGAACATTGTTCTGAACCAGGAACCTGTATATACCTCAGCAACTTCTGATGCTTTATAGAGCTCAGATTAGACCTTCTTTGGAGTATTGTTGACATGTATGGAACTCCGCACCTAAGCATACACTGAAGCTGCTGGATTCCATCCAGAAGAAAGCCATCCGCCTGATTGGAGAAACGAACATCACTCGCAACCTTGATAGTCTGGAACATCGAAGAAAGGTTGGAGATTTGTCTCTCTCTTTCACGAAAGGTGTTCAAGTGACTTGGCACATTTGATTCCACCAAGAGCGGTACATATCAGAAATACGCAACGGACTGTGGCTCAGTACACCTCGTACTTCACCGTTCAAGAACTGTTCCATTTGGAGAACTGGATTTATGTGTAATAAACTTCCTGAAAACGTTTCCCTGAAAACGTTTTCAAAGAGGAAGATTAAAAGTTTTAATCTTCCTCTTTGAAGATGATCACTTGGTGATCGAAACACGTGTCGAGGTGTAAAAAATAACGATTTGGTGTTGGGAAAAAAACTCCAGTAATATTCATTACTACACCAAAGGTTCCAAACAGTGCATTATAAGAGAAGAAGCAAAGGTCTCTCATAGATTCAATCGCCATTTATATATAGTCAATACACCATGTCAGGACTGTATCCCAAAAATTGAGGTTTTAGAGGTCCAGATTCCTCTGTTTCATCTTCTGACTGAATGCTACCAGTGTGGATCTGGATGGATGTACTTTTAGCTCTTTTTTTCTATTCAATTCGTACTCAGAACCTGCTGAAGCTCTTCCAGCTCAGCGAGTTGATTAGTGTCCCGTATGCGTAATAAACCATCCAGAACCAGCAGTGAAGACAACTTCCCAGCTGACGTCACTTTGTTACCCATGTCACCACCATTTCCTTCAGTGATACGCCCGTGCATGCCTGACTAATTTGAAGTTTTGAGCCTGAATCATATCAGATTGATCGGTTTCAAGGTCATTGATAGGTTATGTTTGATTTTCCTAGGTTTCAGAATATTGTAACAATCAGCCTACACGTTTTTGGTATGTGTCTTAGAACTAAACGTGCTTTCAGTTAAAATATCAATCCCTCTTGCGAAGACAACTGACTTTCCGGTGAGTTTGAATGAATGTTGACACGTATGATTGTGGGTGATCAGGCGTTCTCACTTTTCTCATTGATGGTTGCTGTGTTTGAATTTCTTTTCAGAATATTTCGTTTTGAATTTGGTGAATGAAAATCCTTGTTTCTTTATTTATTTAGAAAAAACAGACAGACAAAACCCACTTTCATTTTGGGAATGAAAATCTACTGCAAAATCAATATGGAGTGATAAATTTAATAACGATTGCTAAGGTGGTCATCAAATAGAGCTTACAAGCTACAAAGGGCAACACTCAAAACTGGCTATCATCGAAATAAGTTACGATAAACAGATTTTAAAAAATAAAAACAAGATTTTATATACTTCGAAAAGAAATAATTTTTTTATATCTTAGTTGTAGGTCAATAAAGTTGTTTCGAATATTCCATGTCCTATTATTTGAGTATATATTCAATATATCACACATGGTATCAATTTATACAGGTGGGGTACATTGCCTTAGCGAAAGAGGGCTCTCTAGTTAACCGTCTGAGAGTTTCAATGAATTTGACTGCGAGTCCTCCAAATTCAAGTTTATGGATATCTAATTAATTTCTTAGTGGATTATAACATTACAACATACAGTTCACACCTTACGCCTTGTAATATAAATAAATTTGTTTGGGATAGTCTCTAAGTGCTGTATCAGTTGTTTTTTTTGGAAAAAAATCCTCAAAACTGCCTCATTTGGAAGTCAACTGCGTTCTGCATTATTGGTTTCTCTATGACCACGTTTGAAGTTAGCAAATTAACGTTCAATCGTTAATTGTCCCATCAAGAAGTAGTGTAAAATTGAAACGAACTTGTTTTTGATACATTGTTTTGGAAATAGCAAAAGTAGTGTCACTCTCAGCACAATAACTCACAAACTTATTAGTAGAATATCATGAAATTTCAACAGGTTTTGTTTTGTAGGTTAGTACTAAGTGAAAAAGCAGTGAATACAATAAGACCAGCGCCATCTATGTGTTAGCTCCGAAACTTTTCTATCCAGGTAGTATTTCAGTCTTCTTCTGACAAGAGCACAAAATTATAATTTTATGATCCCTATATCAGTAGAATCGGAGATTGGGCGCTTGAAGAAGCCTAATAGTTCGCTAGACTCCATGGAAACTTCGAGAATAGCTGAGATCAATCTGAAAGGGAATGCCAAGGTCTTTCATTTCCAAAACATTCTCCATTACTGAATTCAGCATAAAATAATTAAAAATAGGGCCCATGGGTGCTCCTTTCAAAAGACGTAGCTTTGCAATTTGAGAGATTGAATAACTTATTTCTTCTGCACCAGCCAGATATTTTATCAATGTCATTTTGAATTTCAAAATAATCGTTCACATTACATACTTACTCAAACATTTCAAAATCATCCGTGTACAGTAGATATTCCAAAGAGACTCCTTGAGGAAGGTCACTAATAAAAATCAGATCAAGTAATGGTCCTGAAATAGAACCTTGTGGTACTTCCGAAACTGCTAGGTAATAATAAAACGTCTCATCATTATGCATTTGAAGATAAGATACGTTAAACAAAATCAGGTGACTAATTAAATTTCAATTTCAACAACTATTTATCATCATTACTGTATGGAAGGTCTTAGCTGTATGCATCTAATGTACTCAACGAGTACGAGAACATTTTTTGGGAAATGTTGCGATTTGATAAAGGAATTTGTTATTTTACACGGTTGCCGAAAAAATAGTGTAAGCAGTATGTCCGAAAACAGTATTTTCCAGACTTGTTACGTAAGTAACTAATTATCGGTTTTCTTAGTAGAAATTCACTTGAATCTCAAGTGTAGCTCGCTTAAATGAAGATATCGACTTCTTTCTATACATTTCACTTTCTCCTTGTATAATGCCTTTAACTCAATCGGCTTCATCATATATCTCAATTTATTTAACACTGAGTGTAATCTACGAGTTTATATTATCTTACAATGCACTCACGTATTTCAAAACTTTCTTCAAATCCCAAGAATGCAAATCAAGCAGATTATTTCGAGAAAGCATCTCAGTCGTTGTTCTGTGTCAGTGGGTCAATGTTCGATCATGACTCAAGTTTGAGAACGCAAGTTCTCTCTTTGTAGCAAGTTCCGTTTATTGTTCAAACCTCCGTTGGAGAATACTTTCACTCAACACTAAACAAACGTGCTAGTTCAAAGGTATGTTTTGATGTCCTCTGTGTTGAGGTGTTGGTTGATGGCCATGACATTCGATTGGAAAATTATTCTCACTTCAGTCAGTGACCGGATGGGATATGCTAATAATTGATGAACGTGGACATTACATTTGCTATAATGTAAGAGTGGATTGCTATTTTCTCAGTGCTCTCTCTGAGAAAGCATATTCGCTGTCTGGGTCGAAACTCTCACAATCAGAATCAATGAACTCTTTTCGTTTGAAGAAAAACTGAAAATTCCAAAATATATACTATTAATGAAATACTATTCACCTACTAAATGACTAATAATGCGTAATATATGGTGTTTAGGAAAACACGATGTTACGAAAGAAATTCGTATAGAATAGACGGAGACACAAAAAATACATGGTAATAGCAAATAATTTACAGAATACAGTTTTTAACCTTCCGATCAAGCTGCTGATAGTGGAATCTATTTCATATATTCAATCTAATATTTTTCACTGCTTTTTGAGTTCAAAACCTACCGCAATCTGGAAAATAAACCGAGCTCAATCATAATGAATTGGTTGAAGCTTTCGCGGCCAAGATTTTCAGTGTTATGATCTTCGTTTGGGTTTGAAGGCCGTCGTGGTTTGGAACTGTATCCTAACGTTTCGCCAGAACGAGTGGCTGGCTTCTTCAGAGGTTTATTCATCTTGATGGTTCACCGATGACTAGTGATTTCTAGTTCGCATGCTGTATTTATGTTGACACAGGTAGCCCGCCTTTCTAGTTGGTGCGTTGTTATTGACCGGAGTGTTATTACCTGTTATATTGCGTTGCACTGCTGTTCAATCGAATATTTTTCACTGCTTTTTGAGTTCAAAACCTACCGCAATCTGGAAAATAAACCGAGCTCAATCATAATAAATTGGTTAAAGCTTTCGCGGCCAAGATTTTCAGTGTTATGATCTTCGTTCGGGTTTAAGGCCGTCGTGGTTTGGAACTTTATCCTAATGTTTGGCCAGCACGAGTAACTGGCTTCTTCAGAGGTTTATTCATCTTGATGGTTCACCGATGAGTAGTGATTTCTAGTTCGTAAGCTGTATTCATGTTGACACAGGTAGCCCGCCTTTCTAGTTGGTGCATTGTTATTGACCGGAGTGTTATTACCCGTTATATTGCGTTGTACTGTTGCCACCTTAGCATCTTTGGCTGAAGTGTCATTACCTCTTACATTGCGTTGCACTGCTGCCAACTTAGCATCTTTGGTCGAAGTGTCATTACCTGTTACATTTCGTTGCACTGCTGCCACCTCAGTATCTTTCGCAGCCAAGATTTTCGGTGTTATGATCTTCATTCGGGTTTGAAGGCCGTCGTGGTTTGGAACTGTATCCTAACGTTCCGCCAGCACGAGTGGCTGGCTTCTTCAGAGGTTTATTCATCCTAATGGTTTACCAAAGTCCAGTGAGTTCTAGTTCGTAAGCTGTATTTATGTTGACACAGGTGGCCTGCCTTTCTAGTTGGTGCATTGTTATTGGCCGGCGTGTTATTACCTATTGCCTTTTTGGCCGAAGTCTTATTAATTCTTACATTGCGTTGCACTGCTGCCACCTTAGCATCATTGACCGAAGTGTTATTACCTGTTATATTGCGTTGCACTACTGCCACCTTAGCATCTTTGGCCGAAGTGTTATTACCTATTACATTGCATTGCACTGCTGCCACCTTAACATCTTTGGCGGAAGTGTTATTACCTCTTACATTGCGTTGCACTGCTGCCACCTTAGTATCTTTGGCGGAAGTGTTATTACCTCTTACATTTCGTTGCACTGCTGCCACCTTAGCATCTTTGGCCGAAGTATTACACCTGTTACATTGCGTTGCACTGCTACCAACTTAGCATCTTTGGTCGAAGTGTCATTACCTGTTAAACTGCTGCCATCTCAGGATCTTTGGCGGAAGTGTTATTACCTCTCACATTGCGTTGCACTGCTGCCAACTTAGCATCTTTGGCTGAAGTGTTATCACCTGTTACATTGCGTTGCACTGCTGCCATCTTAGCATCTTTGGTCGAAGTGTAATTACCTGCTACATTTCGTTGCACTGCTGCCACCTCAGTATCTTGGGTCAAAGTGTTATTACCTGTTACATTACTTTCGCAGCTTTCAGGGCCAAGATTCTCAATGTTATGATCTTCATTCGGGTTTGAAGGCCGTCGTGGTTTAGAACTGCACCCTAACGTTCCGCCAGCACGAGTGGCTGGCTTTATCAGAGGTTTATTCATCCTGATGGTTTATCAAAAACTAGTGATTTCTAGTTCGTACGCTGTATTTATGTTGACACAGATAGCCTGCCTTTCTAATTGGTGCGTTGTTATTGGCCGTAGTGTTATTACCTGTTATATTGCGTTGCACTGCTGTCTCCTCAGCATCTTCGGCCGAAGTGTTATTACCTTTTACACAACGTTGCACTTCTGCCACATTAGCATCTTTGGCCGAACTGTTACATATCGTTACATACATAACATACCTGTTACATAGCGTTGCACTGCTGCCACCTTAGCATCCTTGGCCGAAGTATTATTACCTCTCACATTGCGTTGCACTGTTGCCTTTTTGGCCGAAATATTATTACCTCTTACATTACGTTGCACTACTGCCACCTTAGCATCTTTGGTTTACATAGCGTTGCACTGCTGCCACCTTAGCATCCTTGGCCGAAGTATTATTACCTCTCACATTGCGTTGCACTGTTGCCTTTTTGGCCGAAATATTATTACCTCTTACATTACATTGCACTACTGCCACCTTAGCATCTTTGGCCGAAGTGTTATTACCTGTTATATTGCGTTGCACTGTTGCCGCCTCAGCATCTTTGGCCGAAGTGTTATTACCTCTTACATTGCGTTGCACTGCTGCCACCACAGCATATTTGGTCAACGTGTTATTATCTGTTACTTTTCGTTGCACTACTGCCACCTCAGTATCTTTGGTCGAAGGGTTATCACCTTTTACATTCCGTTGCACTACTACTACCTTAGCATATTTGGCTCAAGTGTTATTACCACTTACATTGCGTTGCACTGCTGCCACCACAGGTTATTTGGTCAAAGTGTTATTACCTGTTACATTTCGTTGCACTTTTGCCACCTCAGTATCTCTGGTCGAAGTGTTATTACCTTTTACATTGCGTTGCACTGCTGCCTCTTTGGCCGAAGTGTTATTACCTGTTACATTACATTGCCCTGCTGCCACCTTAGCATCTTTGGCCAAAGTGTTATTACCTCTTACATTGCGTTGCACTGCTGCCACCTTAGGCTTAAGTGTTATTACCTCTTATATTGCGTTGCACTGCTGCCACCTTAGCATATTTTAGTATGGGATTACAAATCCGGTTGAGCGTTATTGCCTTCTCTTTTCACGTACCCATTCATCCATAAATGAATGGGTAATGAGCTTATTTTCGATTTATTTTACTCTAGAGGCTTGAGCTTTATCTTTTATTGAAGTGGATTGAACTAATAGTTCATAAATATGGAAAAAATCAGCTAACTTTGATGCTGGAGGAAAAAATCTCTCGAGGTGTTCATATTATTGAGTTTGCAGCATGTTTTTGATCTATACCTGTAACAACTTCAGCTGGGAGGTGAAACTAGTGGTGATTGAATAGACCCAAAACTATCCTAATTTTATTTGACATAATTTCATTTTAATTACCTAACTTCTTAAGTTGTCGAATATGAATTAAATTCATTGATCAATAAATTAATCATTTGAAATGTTATACAACTTGTTTTATGTAATCAGGAAGCGCACTTTTTTACCTTTATTGCTAATGAGTGACTTCAGTGAGTTTCAAATTGCTATATTAAGTAAGCTTATTGATTTTCATTAATAAACACAAAAGTGACATCAGGACTAGTACAGGATTGCCGTAATAAACTAAATGTTCTTGCGGTCAGGTCCCTCTGTAGTGACTGTCAGGACTTTCAGAAATCACAGTGAACCTCAGTAAACTTTTGTTTTCAAGTCTACTGCTGTTATTCAAAATCTCTTGCAATGGGTATCCATAACATGTTCTTTTGTTTCAGAAAAATGGCACCCAGTCTCCTAAGCAACTCATCGTTATATCTGGAAAGTTCATCTGCCGATCCAGTTCAGATAATCAGCACAAAACAAGATGTACAACAAAGTTATCAACAATACCAGAAACCAGTCAGAAGGATAGTCAAAAGAGAAGGACCTCATTATAAATGGGACATAGTTTGGAAAAACGTTTTGATCTTCATCCTTCTACATGGATTTGGAATTTATGGGTTATATATTATGTTCGTGAAAGCACAATGGAGGACAATTCTATTTGGTAAGTTTACATCACGACCTGATGACGTCAACGTGGTTGGTGGAAATTGTGTTGAAAAAAGTGTGAGGGTTTTGGTACGTGGAAGAAGTGTTTTCCTTGAAATTTAAGTCTTATTTTCGATGAATTGTTATTGAATTTCACTTCTGAGTCCATTCAAAAAAGTTTGTGTATTCGTATACTTTGTGTAGGTACTAAAAAAACAAACATATAGGAATTTTAGTTCGAAAAAGTTTTATTATGACATTTTCACAAAACAACATGTATTCCACTATGTAGTAGCCTCCACCAATGTATTATAGTTGAATAAACTATATACCGGGTGACACAGACTTGTGGTATACCTCAATTTTTTTTCCATTTCTTCAACTATATTTTAGAAATTAGGAGTTTCGAATATGGCGTATTGGGAATTTTTTTCAACTCAAGGTTTTTTCTGAAATGACGTCAACATTCGATTTCCAAATAGAATACCCTATACAATTTTATATTTTTGAAATCTACATCATTTTTTGAATATAATGATCCCTCACTTGATATTTGAATAATGGCTTGGAACCCATGATTCTATAAGGTGACCCGCAAGGTTACCCGAATTGAATCCTCCAGACAGAAATAAGTTGAAAATGCCATATGTTTATGACGGAAATGTGAAAGTGGATATACAGCTTATTCCTGAAATGACATCAACATTTCATTTTCAAATTGAATACCCTACACAATTTTATATTTTTTGAAGTTACATAATTTTTTGAATACAATGATCCCTCAGTTGATATTTGAATAATGGCTTGGAACACATGAGTCTATAAGGTTTACTAAAATATGTTTAAAATATGTTTTTCCGTTAACCAGGTGTCGCACCCCTACGAACGACAACCCTCAGAAATCGAAACTTGTGCGAGCTAAGAACTAACGAGGTCTTAACTTTCAACGTGTGATTCCTAACATGGGTTAGACGATAGCAAGTGAAAATTGATCGTTTATTCTGCGACTTGAACCACCGACTCACACATCGGTCGATTGAGAGAGTGAACGAAGCACCCTGGTGACCTGCAAGATTACCCGACTTGAACCCTCTAGACATAAACAGTTTAAAATGCCACATGTTCATAACAGAAACGTGAAAGTTGATTTACAGCTTATTTATGGCGAATATCGTTGATTCTTTATTTCTCTAGCTCTTTTTCCATACTCAAAACAATGGATTTGCTCATGAAAAGGCCCGTTTTGACGTATTGGGATATTTTTTCTAGTTCCGAATTTTCCGGAAATCATATCAACGTTTGATTTTCAAAGGAATCACCCTGTATGTTTTTAAATTTTTGAAATCTACATAGTTTTCTAAATAAAAACAAACCCCATAGTTGATATTTCAAGTGTTGAGACTTTCGGTTCATTTTTCGATCTAGAGAGCCATGAAGAATAGGGAAAAGAATCAATAAAATTTCAGTTGGGTCATTGCAAATCAACGTCATATTGGTCATTGTTCCGAATAAGACTTAGGTAGATGGTTCTGTTTAAAAAATCTGTTTTTCCGTTAATCAGCTGTCGCCCCCATACGAACGACAACTCTCAGAAGTTGAGAAACTTGTGCGAGCTAAGGACTAACGAGGTCTTACCTTTTAACGTGTGATTCCTAACATTCCTTTTATATTTCAGGATTAGAGAACAAATACAAATATTAATCATTGAAAATGACTCAATTGTTTTTCAAAACATTCCCCATGAAGATCTATACACTTTTGCATACGTTTAAACCAATTGTCGAAGCAATTTTGCCACTCTAATTGAGGTATCTCCAAAACATGCATTCGGAATGCAGCAACCGCTTCTTCAGGTTTGGAAAAACGTTGACCTCTCAGTTTCTTTTTTACGTGCGGGAATGAAAAGAAGTCATTCGGTGCCAAGTCTGGACTATACGGCGAATTACTCATCTAATCGATGTTTTGGGTGCTCAAAAATGCAGTTGTTGGAGCCGATGTGTGAGAGCTCGCATTGTCGTGGTAAATAGTGATCCGTCTTCGGCGGTTGGTTTTCCTGATTTCTTGGGAGACAACTGGCAAAAAAAGGGTTGTGTACCACTCAGAATTGACTGTTCTGCGTTGTTCTAGTGATACGGTTGCGACATGTCCAGTTTTTTCGAAAAAACAGGCGACCATTTGCTTTGAAGTGCTTCGTGCGTGAACAACTACTGTTGGATTTGGCTCGTCTTGAAACACCCATATAATCGACTGCTGTTTACTTTCGGGCTCATACGCGTAAATCCACAATGTCATAGACGTGTTTCGAAGCATCGCGATCGTATTTTTTGAGCATTTCCTTCGACCAACCGACACAAGCCTTTTTTGAGCAATTAACAAATTGTGTGGGATCCAACGCTAACAAATATTTTTGACAGTCAAATGTTTATGCAATATTGCGTATTTTCTCACATGGTAATTTTTGAAATACAGAAATAATTTATAGCAGATTTTTAAATTGTAGACCATCAACATCCAGGCATTTTCGAGCTCGTTTGTTGGTGTCGAGAGATGAAAGAAAACTGTGATCAAGTTTCTTATTTTGACTACTTTTATTTTCCAGGGTACCTCTATGCTGCAACGAGTGCCATGGGCGTAACAGCGGGTGCCCACAGGCTATGGGCCCACAGGACATACAAAGCAAAATTACCGCTGAGGATATTCCTGATGATTTGTCAAAGTGCTGCTCTACAGAATGACCTTCACGAGTGGGTGAGAGACCACAGGGTGCATCATAAATTCACCGACACGGATGCTGATCCTCACAATTCTAGAAGAGGATTCTTTTTCTCCCACATAGGATGGCTGATGGTGAAAAAACACAAGGATGTTTTCAGTAAAGGGAAAACAGTGGATCTGAGCGATATTGAGAGTGACCCTGTTGTCATGTTTCAAAAAAGGTAAGCACGGAATTGAATCAGTAGTGTGATTATGAAAAATGTCAGGAAATACAATAGGAAACTGAGCAGAAAGTTCTTTGTGGAAAATGATAAAACTCTTCAAAAATAATGACGAATGGAAGTTTCATTGAATTGATGGTGATTAAGAAGTCTTGATTAGATATTGCAGAGGTATATTCGAAACATTGAATAAATATCAACTTCAAAAAGGCAACTTACTGAAAACCAACTGAAAGTTTCTTCCGTAAATGGATAGGCCAGGGTCTGAAACCCTGAATTTTCCGATTGAGAGATTATTCAAGAAAAAAGGCCAGTTTGCTCTCAGCGTCAGTAACTTGAATGAAAGTGAAATAATTAACTCACTAGCAAATGTCAAATCGTGATATTTCAAAAATTATAGAAATTTGAATAAAGTTGCTGTTTGAAAACATAGTCCATAACACCTACCCATAGGTATTGAAGGTTTACCCCAAAAATCCCCACAACACTACTATATTCTCTTTTGTATATAACTCAATCTATTCAAACCATGAGATCCTGGAATTTCTGAAAAAATTGACGAGGGCCAAGCCGTTTTGGTACTCCTTCAAGGAATTTAGGTCTTCCACAGACCATAGCATGGTTACTCGTATACTGAAATCTCGACAGCAATGACGTAGTAGGTCTCAATGAGTGATATGCACATTTCATTCATTCATTTCATTCCACTATTTCCTCTGAGAAATCTTGTTACCATTCCCAGCTCCATGCTCTTCCATTTCAAGAAACATTCGATCTGTTTCTATCAATTAATTCATTAACCTTTCAACTTATCCTTTCTCATCTTATCATTTTCTCTGGGCCATGTCATTCGACCAAATCGATTCATAATCCGACACTCACATCAAGTATACTCGATTTCTGCACGTCAATTAGTCTTGAACAGTATTTGAAGTCTGAGGAGAGTTTTGACTCGTACATACTCGTTCAAGCAACTAACAACAAGGCCTCTTCTGAATAGTTTCATAAATTGTTGACAGTCGGGAAGTGTTATTATTTTCGAGGTTGTTTTTGATATTAGGTCTAATCAAAAATCATGTAGGACCTGTGGAAAAAAGTAAATTACGAATCAATTTCAAAAAATTCGAATATTTCATATGTGCTCTCAAATATTTCATAGCTAGATAATAGATATTTGCCAGAAGTGATTGATTCAACTTCAATCTATAATTCCTGAGATTTTGAAAAAGGTACCCATGCCACAATTTATTTTTCAAAGCTTAAAGCGATGCCAATGACAGTTTCTGGTCCGATGAAGCTACTTGCAACACCCTCCTTTGCAAGAGAGTCAGTAGCCTCATTGCCTTCTAGGTCAGTATGGCCAGGAATCCAGACCAGATACATTCTGTTGAGTCTTCCTATCGAGGAGAGTCGTTTTTGGCAACTTGCTACCAATTTAGACGTTGCTTTCAACGTTGCTTGACTTGTGAATGAAGTTGGATTCTTCCAATCTCTCCGCACACAATTCAATAGCGTGAATTTCTGCTTGAAATACAGTCGCATAAATTCCTAGATAGGTTGATATCTCTGTCCTGGGTCTGCGACTGAAAACACCTGCACCAGAACCGGAAGGTGTTTTCGATCCATCTGTGAACCAACAACTATCTGCTCTTAATATTTCTTTCTCCCGTAGGATCAAGTTTTCTATACTCATCTCTACCATCATATCACTTGTATATACTAACTCATCATCTATACTCTATCTACTCTATTCTATACTATAGCAACAACAACAGCTAGATACTAGATATTTGCCAGAAGTGATTGATTCAACTTCAATCCATAATCAACGTGTTCCTGAGATTTTGAAAAAGGTACCCATGCCACAATCTAATTTTCATTTCTTGAACACTCTGACTCGTTACTAGATGAAAATGGTAGCTTCATCAGTTACTAGTACATCAAAGTATTCTACCTGTCAACATTATTATTTGTCTGCATAGATTTCATATGTCGTGTTGAATTGTGTTGAAAAACGAACTAAAAATAGATATAGATAATGAAAATGACTTTTCAGAAATCAGAGAAGCTGCTAAAGTTGCCTCACTGAATTTATTGCCGGAAAAGTCAAAAAAAGCATATATAATATGACCTATGAATCTTTTTTAAACTGGCAAATAGAAAAGAAAACCACTTCATTTTCTGAATCGACTTTGTTAGTATACTTTACTGAATTATCCGCAAAATATAATTCTTACACCTTACATCGATCACCTTATTTACATCAAGGTATAAATTTAGAAGATTATAGAAAATTACACAAGCATTACTAAAACGAATATCAGAAGGTTTTCAGCCTGAAAAAGCGATATCAATAACTTTTTAATATATGCTCGTTAAATAATATTCTATTATATAACAGTAGGTACTAACAAAACGTGTCAGCTGATTGAATAAATCTGGTAAAACACGTAGATTTTAAATGAACAATTAGGTACCATTCAATATTACTTCTAGGAAGCAGGTTATATTGTAATTTTATGTCGAAACCTAATTGGATGAATGATTAATTCTGGCAAAACATGTCGTAGTAAGTAGAACCACTGCCAGAATTGTAATATGCTGTTCAAAAATGTAAGTCTTCTTTTCTATATGAATTCAACTCACAATACGATACATTGTCTGCTCCATAATTACTCAAATCTAATCCTTCTAGAGGAAAGTTGATGACAACTTTTAATTCGCTCCTAAATCTTTCCGTTGGAAATTAGCCAGTTCTCTGTGATATGGGGAGAGACAAATACAAAAAGGATCGAAGGTTACTGATGAGTGTCCACAGTGGACACTCACGTGTATTTTATTGACCAACGATATATTTTTCATTCAATAATTTACACAAAACAATTTCGATATAAAATAATGCTATAATTTTGATTTTCAGGCACTATGTATTGATGGTGACGTTTTTATGCTTCATGATTCCTGCCCACATTCCATGGTACTTCTGGGGAGAAGATTGGTGGGTTTCCTGGTACGTGACAATCGCAAGGTACACGTTATCCTTGCATTTCACATGGTTGGTTAACAGTGCCGCTCATATTTGGGGAACGAAGCCTTATGATAAGTGAGTATCTCGGATTGTTCAAAGACAAAAAAACACGCTCTTTGTACGGTAATCAATTTATTTGAATGTTTCCAGTATTGTCCAAAGAACATCTTATTGACAAAGCTACAAACTCTGTTGTCACTATACAACTAGATATACATACATGTAGAGTACAGATTATATTGAAATAGCTGAAATATAGAGTAAAGATATAAATGCACAAATTTAACAATTTTATTCAAACACATACAAAACATACGGACACTGAAGAAAGATATAACGACACCAGAAAAGTTCAAAATTATAAAACCATACACTGTCTAAATATTAAAAAATACATAGAACTCTTCTAAACTATAATAAGGTTAACCACATAATATATCTTTTACTGATTTTCTGAATTTATAGTTATCCTCTGAAATTTCAATATGGCCAGGTATATGATTGAATATATCAAGACCTTTATAATATAAGGAGTCTTCGACTAGAGTAGAGGCTGGTATGGGCAATCTTAGGTCATTAGCTTGACGAAAAGCATAATTATTGGAGTAGCCGCTTAGTATCAGTTTATGTTTGTTGATCAAACAGACTGTTTACAAAATAAAGATTCCAAAGACTATCAAAATGTTATGTACTTCAAACAAGGGTTTGCAGGAGTCTAGACTTTTGACATTGCACATGAATCTTATAGCTCTTTTCAAAATAATGAAAACAGTCTACAATTGAGTTTTGTAAGATACTCCCCAAAAAGAAATGTCATACCTAGAATGAGAATTAATGAGTGAGAAATATGCTGATTTAGCGGCAGACAAAACAAGTTCCTTATGAGTTATTGTCACTGCAAGACACCCTGCGTTCCGTTGAGTGTTACAATGTGATCGGCTAATTTAAGTTTATTGTCAAATAATAAACCCAAAAATTTAGAACTATGTCTGTTTTCAATCATCTTGTCTGCGTCCTTTGTTGGTAATGGTATGCTGTCAACAAAACAGCGGAATTATATTAAGTTTGTTTTGGAAACATCCAATAATGGCAGATTGGGGTTGCACCAGTTCTTTATTTTTTTATATCTGAGCTTATAATCCCGTGAAGTTTTATTTCGCCATAATATTGTGGTATCATCGGCGAAAAAGGGTGAATTTTTCTTTTACATCTATAGATGTTGAATCGTTAATGTATAACAAGGAAATAATCTGTCCCAGTATTGAACCTTGTGGTACGCCATTTTTCATTTCGCCTTCTGATGAGAATGATGAAGTTTTCACAATCTGACTTCTTCCTCTGGGATAATTCTCGGACCATACATGAGTAATTACACGGATGTCATAGTAATAGAGTTTTTTCAGCAGTATTCTGTGATCTACACTATCAAATACTTTAGCAAAATCACAGAACCATGTTGCTGATGACTCTTTTTTATTATTGTTTTCATAAACATCGTATATATCAATATTATTGAAATGGAACCCAGTATTGTAACTTTTAGGTCTATGTGTCTATGAAAAATCATCAGAGAAAAGTTATATTGAAAATTCTAGACGTAAGCTCTCTACAATAATTGGTAGATTTCCAAGAAATATTCATCAATACAATTAGTTGAAATAAGATTAGTTGATGTATACATGTATACATTCTTCCTGCCATCTCAAAAGTCTTTGAAATGATTATTGAAGAACAACTCTCAGATTACGTTAAATGAAAAAATCTTATTACCTCCGTTCAGTCTGGATTTCGCCCTCTATATAGCACTACTACGGCTCTGAGTCTCGTCACTGACGACATATTCAAATCACTTGATGAAGGAAATTTCGCATGTCTCTTTTTGAATTTTATTTAATTTGTACTTCTTATTGTGATGAATAAAGACATATTATTATTATTATCATATCTTCTCTTACGAATACGCCATCTATGGTATTCTGAGGCAACTCGAAAAACCCGAATAGAAAAGATAAACGAGGCTCCCAAAGACGGCCGTTAGAAAACAAAGCTCAGATATCATTAGGACTACCATTAAGACGAAACAAAAATTGAAAAATCAAACAATAAAATGTATTTTCGAACTAGTTGGTGCAAACGACTTCTCTCGCACGGACTTCAGTTTTTAGGTTTTCCAAGACAGCAAACTGTTTCCATGTGTTTGCCTATCTTTGATGTATCGAAAGTCGCTTTCCAAATCATATAAATAATCAACCAATGTTCAAGCCAAACCAACTGAACGATATTTTTATAGTATTTTGTTTCAACCAATGCTCGAGGTGATTCTTTAAATTGACATAATTGCATCAATGAAGGTCAACCGGGGCTTCTCCACTTGGGGCTTTAATCACGAGATGGAGCTGTTACTAGGTAACAATCTTTATCTTAGTCAAAGATTTGATATATGCAGCGGAACCGTGTTGGAATTAATCGAGTCCCAGGCACTTTGCTGTCTAGGTCGGATCTTCCCTGCACTGACGAGAGCTACTACTTCGAAACCGGCCTGTAGGTGATCTACTCGAAAAATTTCAGTCGAGTTCTACTGCTGAATGAACAAAAAACATCTACGAAACTAACCCCTATGAGGTTTTTTGCGTAAATGTATGTCCGATATAATTCATTATCCATCGAGGTATTAGTCGGGGAAATAGTTGTTTTTCTGCAGACACTTACCAGAACCTATTGTGTAGGTAGTTGGCAGAGAAGAATATTTCAGATAAGTCTATTTTACTATGAGATTTTTTTCAAAAAAAAACAAACGTATGAAAACGGACCTAAATATATTTGTACAAGAATATACACAAACTCAGTAACAAGTTCTCAGCTTAAATGAATGCTGGTGCAGCAACATAGGGAGATGCGAAGTAGGGCGAGGCAGCATACGGAGACGCCACATATGGGGCTGCTACGTAAGGCGAAGCTACTACGGGTGCAGCTACCAACGGACTTCTTACAGCAGCTACCGGAGCTGCGGCTACAAACGGGGCTGAAGGAGCTACGAGGGCATTGAAGTTACGTGCGACTACTTGGGAACTGTGGGCTGTGACAACTGCTGGGGCTACGGCTGGGGCTACTGTTAATGGAGCTGCTGCGAAGACTCCGCTTGGCTTAGGGTCGGCCAGTACTGCACCAGTTAGAGCGAGAAGTGCTACCTATATAAAAGAAAACGATATTCACTCAGAATTGAAGAATTGAACACAAATAAGGTTAGCCAAGGAATGAGATGAAAGACTCAAAGACACATATAGTGTCAGCATATGAACGGCAAGGAAAGAGATTGAGGTTATTGGATATTCTGAAAGTTGAAGAAACTCAGGACTGAAGCTGGTTAAACTCGAAAATTTCAACAGAAATATATTAATATAAAATGGAGCAAGAACCCCAAGCATCTAACATATTACCGAATTTTATTTCTATAGTTTGCTGAAATACGGTTTTGTTGTCGTTTATTGAACCATTGGAATGAAGTATTGATTAATTCAGAATGGATCTATCTAGAATCGGAAAATGCATTCACGAAATATTTCAATTTTGTTCGTTAGTTCACATTCAGTATGAATTATTTCAAACTAGTGATCATGAATTGAGAATGATACTCTGATTCTCAGAAAGAGGAGAGCAATGACTTTATGAATTTGAAACTTTTCTCAGTGACTAATCGAATATTTTGAATATATTTGAAAATTACAAATAAAACTTTCAATTCCTTAATATACAATAGTGATCACAAAGTAGTATGTTACTTACGAGTTTGAACATTTTTGATGATTTCTTGGATCGTTGATTCACAATGTCTAACAAGCTGTGGTACTAGTATTTATATAAAAACTCCCACCTGATATCATAACATTTCCAGGGAGTAAGTTTTGTAACTGAAGTTTGGTCATATACCAGACGAAATGAGTTTTAGTATGCAAAGGAGTGCTTTCAGTTACTCAAGTTGGTGCGACATAATAGCCTTGCTTGCATTATGTCTGAAAATCAAATCACGGATTGGTGTTACATAATTCTGTTCTTTACAAATTGGTTTGTACTATTAACCCACATATACATAGAGGATTTGGAAAAATCATGTTTGATTTGCGAATCCCTATTTTGATTAATGAAAGTATATTATGGTTTAAATTGAAAGGGATATTTTTTTGATAGATGAAAGAAAACCTTTAGCTTCCTACTTCTCAATCTTTATACAAAAAATTGGAATCTTCCAAAGAAGGGAAAATAGCAATCAATGTCAGGGTATGCTTTCACTTACAGACACACATCAATGATTTGAGGTAGAAATTCGCCAAACATTTTTCATTGAAACGATAAATCTAACAGAGATATTCATATGAACAAAAACTGTTTGTGATGGGACTTTTCTCACTGTTTATAGTACTCACAACAATTTCATTTTAGTTTTTATTTAATTCATGTCCGTTCTCCAAGAGCGACACTGGACTTTTCTAGACTCCGAAATCGAATATGCACTATGTGTTCTTTGAAACAACTGTCAATAGCTCGCTTAGTCTGACTAATGTATTCGTGTCAGTTTAAGAGTTGGTGAAACACGCCTCGTGAAAAGTGTCACAGTTTTGGTGTTTGGGAGTAGTACTTGTTTTGGATTTCATTACAATGTCTTTTTTTGTTATTTTAGAACTATCAACCCGGTGGAAAACAAATTCGTAGCATGGGTAGCTTTCGGAGAAGGCTGGCACAACTATCACCACATCTTCCCCTGGGACTACAAAGCGGCGGAACTGGGAGACTACAGGCTAAACCCCAGCACAGCCTTTTTGGATCTCATGGCCTACTTCGGCCTCGCATACGACCTGAAAACTGTGTCCGAAGACATGGTTAGGAAGAGAGTGAAAAGGACCGGAGACGGAACGTGGAAAAATAAAAATGACAACGCAGGGGCGAGTATGGGAAATGAGAGTGATGACCACCACCATGGTGAAGGAGTGTGGGGTTGGGGAGATAAAGATATGGAAGAGGAGGACATAAAGGATGTGAGAGTTTTTAATGAACTGAAGGAAGATTAGTTCTAAATATTCTTTAAAATACAGCTAATATACAATATATACAATATACTCGATATTGCAATTGATAACTTTCATCTAATAGTGATACTTTATTCTATTTCTATTTATTTCATAAAAAATCGTCCATTATTATTTCATCCTTATTTATTCTATTCTATCATACAATGCGTAGTATGGTATAATTTATTTATTTGTTAAACTTTTGTTAATTTGAAATGTTATGTTATGTTGAAGTCTATTAATTTTTCTGAATAAATGTTCTCTCAACTCTATATTTTTTTCATTATAATTCTCTGTCTCTTAGGTACTACAAAGATATATTTTCTGAATGTATCAGATATTTCAGAAACTTTTATTTATTTTGATTCAGAGCTTGAATTGAAAATNACCCTACCTTAATCTGACGCGCTCGAGAATTTCCGATGATCAATTTTTTTTACTAATCTGATCCTTCATCCCTCACAGGCGGCCTTATATATGGGGCTCATATTTGGTGGAGGTACTTAACCGGGTACAAGGTATCCCCCTGTATATTAATCTGCCGCGCTTTAGTAAATCCCGAAATCCCCGCTTGGGCTCCCCTATTATGTGGGAAATTTACAGAATGCTACATATATGTGATTATGAGAGAGTATATATAAAATATCATTTATATGCAACACTTATCATTCTCAATGATAAAATTGTGAATTACATTTTTCTTTGAATTATGGAGAAGAAAAACGCCAAAAGCCTTTTCCTCCAGAAAATCATACTAGTATTATCATTACCTTCACCTGTTTTCACAAAGTGAATCCCCTAATTAATTTTCGTTATACCCCCCTATTCTGGCTAACTTTCAATTCATTTGACCAAATTCTTTCTAGGGAAATCACTTCTCTATTACAAATATGATTTTCACCGACTAGTTATCTTATTTGATAAGTATTTCAAGTTTTCCTAGTTTCTTTGTTGTATAGCAAGCAAGTATGAATAATTTTTACCCTGTCGTAAACTTGTTTCAAGTTATCTTTCGTTCAACAACAAAATTTGGTTTGCAACTTTTGAATTTTGCTTGATATTGATCAATACAAACTTATTTTGTGAACGCTTGTGACATCTACTGTAGAGTAGTGTATATATAACCCAGCAGAAGAAGAACTTCTGCCTAATAGATGACACGATTGCAATTCATTTGGTATTTTAGGAGGTATTTTGTGTGGGATATTGATATTGATAAAGCTTTATTCATTCAATAATAAACGTTACGTATACCTTCAGTGATGAGAAATCAAGTAGGCAACCTTTTAGAAATAATTTTTCATTTCCCATTGTTCAAGTGACGAAATAAGTGAAAAACTACTTGATAATAGTCTCAAGCATAATCACTGACATTAGGCAGGATTACATTGATATCTTATTTGATTTTTTTTGAAGATTCCTCTGGAGAATCCGAACTGTTTTGTCTATTCTTTCTAATAAACATTATGAAATTATCTTTTCAATAATATCTACTGAAAAACGTTTCACGTCAACCATATAACTGATTCTAAACATTTTTTGATCTGTAGAAACGAAAATTATTTTTTTTGCTGAAATTTGAAAATCTCTTATGAAATGCATCAGTTTTTTATCCTCAAATGGATAACTTTTCAGCCATTGGAAATCTTAACCATTTTTCCCACTTTTTGATGGATCATGATACTTGCACCCTTTTTCAAATTACAGTTTTCTATATCCATTATTTTATTATTTTGGAGGTCCACGGTGTAGGCGACATCTAGCTGTTGTATTTCAAACGCCAGATATAAGGAAAATATTGGTTATCAACCAATAGTCAGAAACATTTGATTATTTGTTGTTACATCTATCTGGTGCAATATTTTTTCATAGAAATGGAAGAAACAACTCTTCACGCTCATTTGTGAACTCGAAAGTTACTTGTGATACACTGTTTGGAACCTTTGGTATAGTAATGAATATTACTGGAGTTTTTTCCCAACACCAAACCGTTATTTTAACACCTCGATACGTGTTTCGAACACCAAGTGATCATCTTCAACAGGAAGATTAAACTGGAAAAACTTCTGCAAGGCTAACCCTGTTTATACTATACAGGTACACCATACAGGTGTACCACACATACAGGTCTTGGTGTCTTGAATTGAATTTACAATTTGCTTAATCTATTGTAATATTTGAATGTTATAGCTATATATAAAACCATTTTCAAGCTATATAAATATTAATTTCACAATATTGCCTATCTACTTGTCCTAAATTCATGTCGCCACAATTAAACAACACAACACAACAACACAATGATTGTATCCCCAAGTACAAAAATATTATGTATGTGTAGGTATGTATGCATTTATCCACTCAGATCGTTGGAGACTCCAGAGTTCATCTCACTTCCCCAGGATGAAGCCGCGTCAATTGATAGCACGAGAAAACTTCACGAAGAAAAATATTTGTATCATTCTTCACATTTCATTGAAATCACTAACTTATATACATCCATCGTAACAACTAAACTGATAGATCACAAATATTAAAATATATGAATATATTTTTGTAGGCGTAATTTAATCGTGCGACTTATTATTGGCGATCTTTTTTTGGACATCTTGTATAGTCCAATCTTCTTGTCTTATACAAATATGACATTATCAATCCCTGAAAACTGCTTAGCCTTCCACTTTGAACCTAGAATTATCTTCCAGATAACGGATTATTTCCGTCAAGTTTTGGAGTTTTGGAACAATTGTCAATACAAAATGTCACTATGATAATACTCGTTTCCCTTGAAGGTTAGGTTATGTTTTGGGGTAGACAGAGACTAGGGAGGAGGGTGGGTAGGGTAGGGTGGCTTTTAGTTGGGTTAGTTGGGATAGATGGACTTGGAGGTTAGAGTGGACTTGGAAGTTGAGCTAGACCACCACCGTTTTGGGGTGGACTTGGATGTTGGATTGTCTTGTTAAGTTAGGTCATTTGGGGTGGGAGGTTGGGATGATGATTTGTTGGGTAAGGCCATTCGGGGTGGAGGAGATTTGAGTGACTTGGGTTAGCTCATTTGGAATGGACTTGGAGGTTGGGTTGACTTGTGGGGTTAGGCCATTTGGGGTGGAAGAGGTTTGGGTGACTTGGGTTAGCTCATTTGGGGTGAACTTGGAGACTGGGTTGTCTTGTTGGGTTAGGCCACTTTGGATGGACTTGGGTTAGGATATTTGGGGTGGACGAGGTTAGGGTGACTTGGGTTAAACCATTTGGGGTGGAGGATGATCTTGAATATATACTCAATGACATTCGATTTTCAATGTGTCAACCACCATTTTCAATTTTCAGCTCCTTTTACCTTTAAATCTAGGCTACCATTGTTCATTGAAATTATTTTCTTAGAAAATATAACTAGAACTCTGACCACGTGCAATTCGTACTCTTTCACTTATAAAACCTTCTTTCAGAATACCATGATTTTTCATTTCATAAACCGATTTGTCATAGGAAACTCTGAAATGAAGTTATTCAGGTAATGGTTGTCACATAAGCCATCCAAACTACAGCGGAGCATAAATTTACATAGTGAACTGTGGCACAAAGAAATCTGTACCATTATTCAAGTCCAAACTCTGAAAAAACAGAATATATTACTACGAAATGTTAGGAAAGATGTAGTTTCTTTTTTGAAGTGTCTACTATATAGTGAGAACGTCAAAAATCCCTCCTTCTCTTACTTTTTGAACAAAACAAGTGATCAAGGTCAAACTGAGTTAATGTAAAGAAGCATAATTGTCAGTATTCTTTAATAAAAAACAAAACTGTATAGCATTCTTGGTATCACTTGTCGCCGAGAGGATGCTATTCTTTTTTATCAAATGGAGTCCTGTGGTAGGTCAGTCATTTTCTGACAATAAGGATGACTGTTAACGAATTCATTTCTTATTTTTTTAAATTTTATTGACGAGTTCAGCAATTGACTTCGATTGTATAAAGAACACTTCAGTCTCAAAAATATAGAGACTTCATATTAGGTGATCGAGCGGATCATTCTGAGGAAGCAATTCTGCCTATCCAGCGGTGATGATAACAGACAAACCCAAACAAGTTTTCAGCTGATGTTATACGTTTTAATAAGCTAGATCACTTTTCCATTATGATTGTCTATTCTGAGAGTGATGAATGAAAATCACCCAAACCGGTGGTGTTTATCTAGACATGGGGTTTAGTGAAATCTTAATGAAATGTTACATATCAATGAGAAAATCCGGGTTGGGCACATAACCTTAGTCCATTCCGGAAGTCATATATGGAGTAAGAGGTACTTGCAACAAAATTACCATAGAAATAATCCAAAATATCATAAATCAATTTGTGAATGGTCTTAATTATTACCATTAAGTGAATAATGAACATCTAGAACATTTTTGTGGATGAACGATTCCAACATAAAGGTTTCCTTTTGTGTGTGTGTCACCAGATACATTTTTCCAGTTGTTTCTGTTTCCCATTACCTCATTTTTGAAATGGTCGCGTACAAATGATTTTGAAATCTTCACAGCTAGTTGTACAACGAATGTATCATCTGAAGAACACACTGTATTGTTCACCAGGGTATTTCTCATATTGAATCTTTGAACTAAACTTGAAAAAATAGTTTTCACGCTATTTCAATCCAAATTGGAGTAAAATCCAGTTACTGATCAGTAGAGTCAAATATAAATATGTTCCATCGCTGGTTACCAGAGTTAAAAATTTGATTCATAGTTGAACCTAGGTTAGGTTGGGTCCAGAGTAAGTGTGTCTATTCGACCCTCCACGGCAACCCGCAAGGGTTTATCGTGACACCTATTCACACTCGACCAAATAAACCCAGCCGATAAATAACGAAGCCGATTAGTTTGTATGGTGAGTGGTTTTTTGGGACAGAAGGTAGGAGTACGGCTCTGCCGAACTCTAAAAACCCGATTCGGTCCCCTGCGGGGCAGGCACAACGTATGTGCTCTGCTGTTTCATAATTT